GCGCCGCACTGTCGGAGGGTCATGCGCTGAGGGAGCGCCGCACTGTCTGCTCTAAGTGGTGGGACCCGATGAGGTAACTGTTGTGTCCGGGAGAAAAGCTCATCCTTTGTATCTTTTCTCCCCCTTTCTCTGTCGTCTTCTCCCTCCCAAATGGCTTCACTATATCCCTGTTGTGGTCATTGCACCCTTTTTGTCCTTGCTACTGACTTCTCTCTCTCATTCTTTTCTCATATTCCACTTTCCCATACTTTATTCCCATCTCTCCCTTCCCCCACCCCCTTTTCCTCCCTTCTCTCTATCTGGCTCTCTCTCTGGCTCTCTCTCTTTCCCCCCCCTCTCTGTTCATCTTACCCCCTCAACAACCCTTCCCTCCCCTCTGCTTTTCCCTCCTTGCTCCCTCACCCACTTTCTCTTCCCCCCCCGCTTTCCCACCCTCCCTCTCCCCCTGTCTCCCCTTGCCAGCAGTTCCGCTCGCTGTTTTTCGGCTCCCTGCTCTCACCGAGGGAGAACCCGAGGTTGGTCCTGGGCCATGAGGTCCTGGCTGAGGCAAGTGACAGTGACAGTGAGACCTGACATCGGAGGGAACTGGTGCGAGGAGACACAGCAACACAGGTAAGGTGTGGGTCAGCAGTGTGACTCCTTCAACCCAGGGGAGCGACCAGGAGTGAGGCTGGGAGCGAGTACGCCGGCCTGGGAGTGAGTGTGAGGCAGGAAGGGAAAGACTGGGAGTCTGTGTGAATGAGTGTGAGTGGCTCCCTCCCCCTTCTACAGCTTCACATATGGGCTTTACAGGATTGGAGTGGGGTCAGGTGTACAGGGTGGGGGTGTGTGGTTGGAACGTCATTGGATCTAGGAGTCCTTGGCCAGTCCAACATTGCCTCCCAACCCTAATTGCCTCAGAGGGCAGTTACCAGTCACCCACATTGGGTCTGGAGTCACATGTAGGCTTAGACTGGATAAGGATGTGAACCAAATGGGTTTTTCCCAATAATCAGCAATGGATTCATGGTCATCATTAGACTCTTAATTCCAGAGTTTCATTGAATTCAAATTCTACCATCTGCCATGGCAAGATCTGAACCTGGGTCCCCAGCACATGACCTTGCCTGGATTAACAGTTCAGCGATGTTACCAGTAGGCTGTGCTTGGGCAAACATTGTAGTCGAAAGGGGATACGGGGTAGGCCTTTTAGAACTGAGATAAGGAGAACTAAACAAGTATTTTGCATCAGTATTTACTGTGGAACAGGATATGAAAGCTAGAGAACTTGAGGAAATAAATAGCGACATCTTGAAAAATGTCCATATTACAGAGGAGGAGGTGCTGGACGTCTTAAAATGCATAAAGGTGGGTAAATCGCTGTGACCCGATCAGGTGTACCCTGGAACTCTATGGGAAGCTGGGGCAGTGATTGCTGGGCTTCTTGCTGAGATATTTCATAGGATCCCTACAGTGTGGAAACAGGCCCTTCGGCCCAACAAGTCCACACCGACCCTCAGAGCATCCCACCTAGACCCATACCTCGTAACCCACCTCATCTACACATCGCTGGACACTGTAGGCAATTTAGCATGGCCTTTCCACCTCGCCTGCACATCTTTGGACAGTGGGAGAAAACAGGAGCACCTGGAGGGAATCCACACAGACACAGGGAGAAAGTGCAAACTCCACACAGACAGTTGCCAGAGGGTGGAATCAAACCCTGGTGCTGTGAGGCCACAGTGCCAACCACTGAGCCACAGTGCCAACCACTGAGCCACAGTGCCAACCACGTATTGTCAATAGCCACAGGTGAGGTGCTGGAAGACTGGAGGTTGGCTAATGCGGTGCCACTATTTTAAAAAGGCAGTAAGGAAAAGCCAGGGATCTATAGACCAGTGAGCCTGTCATCAGTGATGGGTAAGTTGTTGGAGGGGATTCTTAGAGATAGCATTTACATGTATTTGGAAAGGCACTGACAGATTAGGGACAGACAACATGGCTTTGTGTGGGGAAGTTGTGTCTCACTAACTTGATTGAGTTTTTTGATGAGCTAACAAAAAGGATTGATAAAGGCAGAGCGGTGGATGTTGTCTGTATTGTATGGACTTCAGTGAGGTGTTTGACAAGGTTCCACATGGTAGACTGGTTAGCGATGTTACATCACATGGAATTCTGGGAGATACAGAACTGGCTCAAAGGCAGGACATGAGGGATGGTAGTGGAGGGTTGCCTTTTGGACTGGAGGCCTGTGACCAGTGGTGTGCCACAAGGATCAGTGGTAGGTCCATTGCTTTTTGACATTTTATATAAATGATTTCAACGTGAATATGAGGTATGGTTACTATGTTTGCAGATGACCCCAAAATTGAGGGTTTACTGGACAGTGACAAAATCTTGTGATGCCAGGGCTATGGGCCAAGAGCTAGGAGATGGGATTAGAGAATAGTCAGGTGGTGGTTTTTGACTGGCACAGATACTATGGGCCAAAAGACCTTTTCCTATGCTGCTGATTTCTTTGACTCTGTCACCAGATATCTTTAATAAACTCAACGATCAATTTAATTTGAAAAAAGCCCATTCTTAAAGCTAGTGGCCGCTTGTGTTTAACATCTATCGGGGGTTGGATCAGGAATTAAAACCATTTAATCTCGCAGACACAATCTCACAACACAGAAGGCAAGCTACAGAATCCTTAGAGGAGAAAGAGGCCATCTGCCCACTCTGTCTACACCAGCTCTTCAATTGAGCATCATTCCCTAGCGCCAATCTCCTGTCTTTTCCCCATGTCTGTGCACTATATTTCTATCTGAGTAATCGTCCAGTGCCCTTTTGGAATGTGTCCATTGAACCCTCCTCCCCCACATTTCCAGGCAGTGCATTCCAGACCCTAACCACTCACTGGGTGAGAATGTACTTTCTTGAAGCATCCTTGCTTCTTTTGCTCATCACTTTGAGTAAATTGTGAAGATGAGTCTCTGCAGTGTTGGTGGTATTTAAAACAAAAAGGGCAAAAGGGAAAATATTGACACAAAAGGAACAGGATGTGATGACTTCTTGCCTCCTTTTCCCTGTCCAGTTCCGACTGCAATCAACTTGGACTCCAAACTCGAGAAAACACTCACGGTTCAGCTTGTCCTGTTTTATCACAGAGACCGAAACTTCCATCAGGTTCCCAGGAAGTTCATTCAGAACGGGATTTCAGGAGAGACACTTGCAGCTCTTAATCATTGGCTGTGAAGAACGGTCTACAGAGGATTACGAAACATCTATTTTAATAGGGGCTCCTTGTTCTCTCCAAAGTCTGCATCTCCCAGTCATTAAGACAATGAGCCCTTAATCCCCTTGAAAGCTTTACTTAGCTGCTTTTCCAGAGTCATTTGATTTCCAGTGAAAGGAGCAGATCACTTGCAGTACACGATAAACTGTTGATTCCAAGGAATCACGGTTAAAAATGCTTTTCAATCCAGCAAATGTTTAAATACACCAAAGTGCGTCAGTATTTTCCATAAGTCCCTGAAATATATACCTGTATCTCCCAATAACTGATACATATAGGGATAGACTGCTTGGTTTTGTTTTGGAGTGTTGACTAAACATGGGGAGAAACGGTCACCAATTTAAAAAGAGGAGGGGAAAAAAGGAATCAATCTCAGTTTGGGAAAATAAAAAAAAAATAACCAAGTGAAGCTGATGATGCATTCAAGGCATTTTTTTGGGGGACACTGAATGCAGATGAACTGGCATTTGTTATGGGATTAGGAGGCGCTCAGCAGCATTAACAACCAGTTGCAGTTGTAGACAGACCCTTGGAAGGAAATGAAGATAGAGGGCGGCACAGAAACTGTCCAAAGCTGACTCCATCAAGATCTCTCACTTGCCCTTTGTAGAGTAGCTTTCACCAATTCCCTGGCAAAGCAGGAAAGCTACACTCTTGCTGCGAGAAATCATTCTAAAAGGCAGTAGGAAAAGGGTAGTCTGACCAAAGTAAACCTGTGACATACAGACTGATCATCACTGTCCACATAACATTGAGACATTGTCAAAGATTCAAATGGATTGTGAAACCAACTCCATTGGGCTTTGTGGTATGCCCTAGTGTTACTGAACTGTGTTCCTCCATTGTATTTATTCCCTCAGCTCAGTCTGGTTCACTTTCTATTTCTGTGCACGTGTGTGTACTTGCAGTACAAACGGGATAGAGTTTAAGTAAAATAGTTACAAATCCTTTCTTTCACTGTTCTTGGGAGTTTCACAATAAATTGGTAATTTTCTTTTACTCTTAACGCAGTGTGGTTTGTTTGCATCCTACATAGAAGTCAGTCAGATGTGAGTTGGGCTTTTTGTTAGTTTATTTGAATTTTTATGTTTGTAGTGATTCCAGGAACAGAGAGAGGCTTGATATTGGTGCAATCTCCCAAGCCAATCATGATAAGACCCACACACAAACTCATACTCTCGTGTGCTTACACACTCCAGTAAATGCACAAATCCTTTCCTTGTTAGTCATTCGCAGAATGAAGCATCAAAGATACCTGCCTCCAAGGTGTCCCAGGTGACTAACCTTATACCCTAGACTCCATCTCCCTGTTTCTCTCTGTCCCTCTTTTTCTCTGTCACACCTTTTTATTTTGGTCTATCCCCTTCTGTCTCTATCTCCCTGTCTCCCCCTCTCCTTGTTATGCTTTCTGTATCTCCCTGTCCCTATCCTTGTCACACCTCTTCTTCTCTCTATCTTCCTGTCTTTCTTGCTATCTATTTTCCTGTCTCTCTCCCTGTTTCTATCTCCAGTCTATTTCTCCAGCCCCATTTTCCTTCATACTTTTTCAAGAATTCATTTAAAAGATAACCAAAGAAACAAATGACAATGCACTGTGGCAAAAAAGTCAGATTCTTGGAGGGAGTTTAATGAATGAAATGGAAATTTGGTTAGGGGGCCAAGCCCTGTGATACCCGTTGGTAGTGCATTTTCACACAGTAACATTAACACCTGCACGCACACACACACACTTACAGCATGTACACACTCAAACACACACGCAACATGTACATACGCTTAAGTTACACACTCCCTATAGCTTTCTTTCTCCCTGCCCCTAGTTCTCTTCCACCTCACTGTTTCTCTCTCTTTATCTTTGTCTCTTTCTCCACCCCCCAACCTTTTCCTGTTTCTCTCCTTTTTTCTGACTCAGTCTTTCTCTCACTTTGTCTCTCTCTCTTTCTGTTCTTCTTGCCATCTCACTTGTATTTCCCACTCTCTCTCTCCCGTCTTTTCCTTGACATTCTCTCTTTTCCTGTCTCTTCTCTCTCCATGTCTCCTTCTCTTTCTTATTTGCCCGTCTTTCTTTCTATTTCTCTGTTTCTCTACCTCTAACTATCTACCGATCTCTATCTTTATTTCTCTATCTCCCTGTCTCTATTCATTGATTTCTATCGTTGTAATCCCTATTTCACTCTCTATTTCTGATTCTCTACCTCTCTCTCCTTGTTTCTCTACGTCTCTATCTTTCTCTCCTGACTTTATCTGTCCATCCCTATCTCTGTTTCTCTACGTCTGTCTCTCTCTATATTTTCTCTATTTCTGTTTCTCTAGCCCCTTCTCTGTCTCTCTTTCTGTTTCTCTATCTGTCTGATTATCTCTCTCTCCCTCTGTTTCTCTACCTCCTTCTGTATTATTATCTCCTGTCTCTCTCTTTCCCCCCCTCTCCTGCCCAGAATGCGGCTCTCTCTCTCTCCGTTGGAATGCGGCTGAAACTGACTCAGTGTTAAATATAAACCACAGCGCAACGTCCGCGCTTCAGTAACATTCCCGGACGCTGCAAACCGGAACCGTACATTAATCATCCAGGGTAATCCTGTCCACACCCTCCCTCACTCACTCTTTCCCCCCTCTCTCACTCCCCCCCCTCCCACTCTCTCCCCCCCCTCACTCGCCGTCCCCCCCCCCTCCCTCCCTGACCCCCCACTGTCCCCCCTCTCACTCACTGTCCCCTCCTTCACTG